TTCATATGGCCTTATTTAGTTGATTTACAATAAGGGTATATCAGCCTGTAAACCTTTGTGGTATATATTTTGATTTACATTGAAGAAGTATTAATTCCAGCTCCACATGTTTTTGCTTTTTTTTCTCTTCCCAGGAAATACCTGTGTAAATACATCAATTGAAATATTAATCCAGAATAACTTTGAAGAGCTTTTTGTACTTGTTCTCATGTTTTGTAGATTAGATAGTTTTTGGTATGTAATTTTATTGCATTCATGTTGCATCAAGAACATATCCATATCTAGATACTGGCAATTTCACAGAGCACTACTATACCAAACTTAGCACATTGAAATAGCTAGTTGATACCAGTAGAGTATTTTTTACTCCGAATTACTTTGTATGGGTTTTTTTGGCTTTAATGGACCTGACCTCTTAAATTTGAGACCACTGGCAGACAGAAGTTCTGGATAGTTATTAATATAATTAATAAGAGCTTTACCAACACTGAGGAGACAATTCCAAACACTTTGTGCCATCCTGTAGAACTTACAGCTGCCAGGATTTCTTTTCAGATGAGGATAGTTTTAGGAAATAAATTTCTATCCAGCAACTTCTCTGAATGACAATAAGGACTAATAAAATCTTACTTATGGAAATTCAGTCATTTGCCAGGTTAGTTGGAAAGGAAGGCTTGGGAGCTTCACTAACCTATGTTCCTTAATTCACAGTCTTGTTAAATAGAACTGAAATATATGAAATCCTTCAGTGATATGTTTTAGTCATTTGTCTCATGGCATACTTTGTATTTCAGGACCCCAAACGTCATTTAGAAGAGCATGTGGATGTGCTGATGACCTCAAACATTGTCCAATGTTTAGCTGCTATGTTGGATACAGTTGTATTTAAATAACCAATTTACTGTTTGTGATGTTTTCTGTGTATATTTGTTTATTGTTTCTAATACTCACAAACCAGAGACTGTTGAGGCTATATTTGATTAAACAGAGACATCTGACTTCATTTGCAATGTAAGTGCAGCACAATAACACCTTCAGTCTCTTAATTGTGCAGTTGCTTCGGTTTCTTTATGTCAGGGTCTTTACAGATTCCAAAGCAATTCAAGAACACATTGCGGGCAAAATGTATTACATTTTCATTTAATATGGGGTTGGGGGGGGGGAATCAGTAGGACATATATATTTTGATTGTTGCAGCATAATAAAAATACATTTACAAACCTATCTTAAGTTCTGGAAGGCCTTTTTTTTGAAAGTCGGAAATTAACGGTGTAGGAGAAAGCTGTGCAGGTAAAATCTTGACTTTTCCATCTACTGTAAAACTACTGAGATATTAATTAGTAGGACAGCAAAAATTCTCAAATGAAACTTGCCTCCCATTTACCAAATACTCTTACTGACACAACAAATTTGTAGTAGCACTGAATTCAGAGGACATAAGAAACAAAATACTGAAAATTGCTATGACAGTTCCCTTTTAATATTGTTCAAGCCATAATATCAACAGAAGACAGTTGGCCTTAAGAAAATGAATTCAACTATGCTGATAACCAAATTGCACAATGCTCTCACAAACAGGGTCATAAATAGCTGTTTTCCAAGAATAAACATTAAAATAGCAGAGGCTGTTCTAGATTATCAGATTATCCTTTGAAAGCAGGCCTGACAGGAGGGAAGGTGTATAAGATGTCCACATACATATATGTATGAGTTCCAACTGGAATGCGACATTTAAACCCCTTTCCACTGACTAGAGAGGGAAACATGGGAAGGTGGATGGGTTGACTGTTGGGTTTTAAGTAGACAAAGCCAAGTAACAAGGTTTGGGGGAGTGTGTGTGTGTGTGTGTGTTTTTTTTTTTTTTTAAGTATTCAGCTATGATTAGGCTGATTTGATTCTTTAGTCTGATCAGGAGTGTTCTCTTTCTGTTCATGCACAGTATTTTTTTTACCTACTGGAAAAAAAAATTAATAAGCTGAACTAATTGAGGCATGTGATCATTTTAAAACTGCTACATACATCCCGTTTTGTTAAAGATGATTTTTAAGTGATTTGACTCATTATTTGCATAGTGAAAAATAACCCATAACATTTTGTCTTATTTTTGTAAATTGTGTCCGGTAATTTTCTGCTTATTGTTCATTACAATTCAAACATTTTCCTTTTGTTTGGAATTTCATATTTAGGCCAATTTACTATTTTCAAATAACTGGCTCAAAGTATATTTAGCATGCATTTACTTCAGAGGGAAACAAATGCCGATTTTTTTTTTTTTTTTCAGCTTCCCTCCTTATGGCCTTCCCCCTGCTGCCCTTAGTATGCAATAGAATATGACACGGGGAAAATGGAGACATAAGCTACGTTTGCTTAAAAAGCTCCATCTATTTAAGTGGAAGTGCTTTCTGGTAACTTGCACCGAAGACCATGTCACTGGTGAGCAAGGGTGCGCTCAGGCCTTGTAGCTGCCTGGAGCGCGGTACACCCGCATCCAAGGGTAAGATGGGGCAACACCTGGGGGCTGCACCTGGATATTGTCTTGCAGGAGGCCTCCACTGCCACTAGATTGTGGCAGTGCCGCTAGATCCACACACACGCATCGCTGTGTGAGGTGGATGTGTACCTTGGCAGGTCTTAAGTCACGTGGCATCGCAGACCAAGAGAGCAGCTCTTGCAATGTATGGAAGGGCAGTGTAAGCAGGAGCCAAATCAGCGAGCCTTACGCGTTCTAAGTTAGTTTTGACAATTTTCCATCTTGCAGGGGGTAGCTGAAGGCAATCTGGGAGGAAAAGCAGATGTCCTGCAGCATGGGCTTGCACTATAGTACTCTGCTTTCTGTCCAGTGCGCGGTTTGACTTGGAGGCACAGTTTTCCCTTTACAAAGATGTTGCGTGAATAACCACAAGGCTGTGGTTTGGGGCATCTTTCTTCCTTTTGCCTGGTATTTTGGGAGATACACAGAGCATTTGGAAGTGTGCATGCATGCAGTAACCTGAAAAGCAACAGCCCATATAGCATCTTGGAGGAAGAAAGAGGTTTCCAAGCAGCCACCTTCTGAGCCTCCAGCCACAGTAGAGCAGACCTTCATTAACAGCTTGACCCCTCGTCACCTGTCAGCATGCAGGACTGGCATATTGTATTAGCAAGCCCCTCTCCTTCATTCTATGACAATTCTATAACACCACCTGCCATTGCATATCCACCTATTATACCAGTTTAGGAGCTGTGCACACTGAAGATTTTTGGCATATATTAACACTTCCATGTGATTGGCAGTATACCACTGAATTCACTGCAGCTCTGCATGTATATGGGTTTAGCTATGTAATTTAGGGCAGCATTTCCCAGTGTTTATCTGTGTTTTGACCCATCTCCTGCCTGTATATCTAAATCCATTATCTTTCAATCAGTTTCAAGCAGGGGAGTGCAAGGGTGGAAACGCTAGTGAAACAAGTGTCAGAAGCAGTAGTTAATGCTGCTATTGATAAAACTATTTTCTTAGCACTGAAAGCAGGTATGGTTTGGGAGGTCGCATGCACTGTACCAACAGACTGTGAGTAAAACGAGTAAACTTGTGCTCGCTTCTGCTTCATAAAAGATGATTAGAATAATTTCTTTGCAGAGAGCAGGTATGACAGGCTTCCATGAAATGCCAGATAACTGCACTAGATCACAGTTAAGCAACAGAAAAAAATTATTAGATTGCCATGAGATTTGCAAGTGTGGAAATGCACGTTCTGAAAAGCAATCTGGGTTCTACCTGGGAGAAGTCCCAGGCAGAGTTTGCAGAGTTTCAGTGTGGCTTCAGCTGAATACGTTTTGGGTTTGATTTTGTCACGGGATGGCCCAGGCTGCATGGGCCGTCAGTGGAATTTGAATCAGGCTGCTGGTGTGAACTGAAAAGAGGTGTGATCTGCAAAATATCTGAAGTCCCACCAGCTAAGGGGAAAATATTAACAAAAATGCAGCAAGAGAGCACCTCCCCCGGCAAAAATCAGTGCTTTTAAAACTCATAGGCTTGCCTAGGAAAGGAAAATCGAGGACGCCGATGCTCAGGAGGCATAGCAGAGGCCGGGGGGACGTGCAGCTCTCCTGGCATATCTTCACCCCGCGGAGGATCCTGCCTTCAATTAGCGCAGAGCTCACAGGCACACGGCGCGGGGCCCGCCGGGCTGG